AGTGAAGTCAGCCCACTCTTCCCTTCTCTGACTTCTGCAGCATGGGCCCTTCCTTGTCCAAGCTGAGGACAGAAGTGCTGGAGGAGGTTGAAGATGAGCAAGGTCTTGTTCTTGTGGGATTAGTTACTGTGAGAGCAAGGTGTTACAAAGCAGGGCGACCACTGTATTTTTTTTTTTCACTTCCATGTACTCCCAGTTATCCTTCTACTTTCCACCATGATTCAAAACAGCTCATGGCCCTCATCAACTCCAGAATTGTGGGCCAGAACAAAATGTTCAATTATAAGTCACCCAGCCTCAGGTATTTTATCACAGCAATGGAAATAGAATAAGACTCTGAGGTTGCCATGCTGTGACCAAGTGAAGGCTGTTCGTGAGGAGCTTTTGCCGGTGCTGTGGCCAGCTGGCTTGGTCTTTCTGTTCTCCATTCTCTAGCTGTCAAGGGACCTTGCGGCTTTGAGTCTCCTCAGGTGAGGTCTCAGACATCCAGAAGCCATTTCTGCAGTTATATTTTCTGAACTTCTGATACAAGGGACACGGGGAACACAATACGTGGTATTTTAAGCTAAGTGTTGGGATGGCTTTCTGTGCATCAGTCAGTGATTGAAACATAGTACCTGAGTGCTCCTGACTCTGAGTGCCATGCCTACAGAACAAGACTGTCACCAAGAGGGGCCACACTGAGCAGTGGAGTAGATGAGTGAGGCAGAAAGGGGGACAAATTACACTGGGGAGGGGGAGCTGGCGATTTAGCCCAGCAGCATAAGTGCCTGCCTGGCAAGCACAAGGTCATAAGTTTGATCCCCAGTACCAAAAAATCAAAAAAAATTTTTTTAATTAGCATGCATCTGCTAAGCCGCGCTCACATGTGCATCTGGCTGCCTTCAGGAGCCCTGCCACAGTTTTACTCTATGTCACACGAATAGTCAGAGCCTCAAAGCTTTATAGCAGTTGGGGGCTCTGGAATTGTGAAAAAATTTATCTTTTTCAGTTGTCCTGATGTTCTCTGCTCTTTGACAAGCCAGTCTGGCTTGATTGGCAAACCCTGTAGAAATAAGAAGATGGAATGCTAATGCAAGTGGGAAAAGCGCGTGTGGAGAATGGAAATATTTTTATCAAGCTGTGTTGTAGTTTGGCATTTTCTACTGCAACAAAGTCCTGCATAGCACATCTAAAAAGTAACTCTGAAATGTGTACTAAAACACTGCCAGCTAACTTGTTATTTAACTTGCCACAGCCCCATGTCAGCACCTGGCTGCCAAGGTTGGGGAAGAAATTGCTTCTGGGGAGCCCACCTTCATTCAGTCCCAGGCCTGGATGCAGGCAGTGTGCTGGTTGACATGATCTTTAAGTGCTGTCAGTGCCAGCTCCCTTTGATTTGTCCCAAGCTGCCTTGCAACTGTAGATACAAATCCTAACTATGGAGGAGGATTTGTAAAGAGCCAAGACAGCACTGAGTACCTGGACAGATTTGATCCAGTTAGGCAGTTGTCTGTTGGCTGAGAAGGAATTGTATTACATTCTGGAGGCAAGAGGCCAGCTTCTTTCAAAAGGGGGCCACCCTGCACCCTTAATGACAAAATCACTGCTTCCTGGGGTCTTGCAGCCCTTGGAGGTTTCCCTGACATGTAATCCAGGACTTGTTGGAACACTTGCTGACTGCATCTTGGCAGGAGTAGCTGAAGAAAGAGGGTAAATTTTCTTATAGAAATGAAATCTGTCAAGAAATCTACATGGTAAATCAACTATGAAAGTGCATTGTCAACTAGAGCCTTGGAAAGGGGGAGCCAAGTTTAGCTACCTTTTACTGGAAGGTTACTCAGTAATTTTTCAGTTTCCCAAAGCAGAGAAGCACACAGCTAAATACAGGTTGTGGAATATACAACCTGAAACTTCAACTGAACTTTATTTGTGTTATTACAGCATTTATTCATGTGTGCGAGCTGGTGCCATCTATGGGTGAGTTATGGTGCTGCAGCCTAGCTCTACTAGCCGCAGTTAAGGTCTAGACAGAAAGCAGAATAATCAATAGACAAAATACAAAAGAGAATTTAAAAAATATTCTAAGTATATAAATACTTCTTCTTTTTTGTTTTGTTTTGTTTTGTTTTTTGTCTTTTTCCTTTTTATCGGTACCGGAGATCGAACTCACGACTGCCTGCTTGCAAGGCAGGCACTTATGCTGCTGAGCTAAACCTCCAGCCCTCCCCCCCTGCCCAATACGTCTTAATATAGTCTGATTTACAGGCATGGAACAGAAACTCTTGGAACTGTAGACAAGAATTACATTGCATGTCAAAAACCAGAAAACTATCTTACAGAAAAATCTTACAGAAAATTCTTAGAAAAAAAATTGTGTGTATAAGGAAAATGAATTTACTTCTAGGTCTCTTAGGTTGTGAAGTCAGAGCTCCATTCCCACCTGCAGTAGGAGAGGAGCCCATTCACAGGTGTAAGCCAGCTTGTTCAAATGCATCATGAATGTTGAGCTCACTTTTTAGGAGGTAGACAGGGCCAGCAAGGAACTTCCAGGATTTGGTTTGCTTGTTCAGTTCAGTAGAATTGTGAAGAGGGGAGGGGATAGGTGCAAGAGTAAATCGACACCAGTGACCAGATATAGAGGTGATCTTACTGGGTACCAGGTACTCAACTTACACTATCCCAGTGGTGCCTCATGGGAAGGTAATTTCTCTGGTGATGGGAATAAAAAAACCAAAATATTGCAAACCCAGTCAGTTATCCTGAACTTACACAGCAGGTCTGAGAAGCTAGAGGAGCCAAGATTTGAACTCAGGCCTCCTTTAGGTTTTCACCCCCATCAGCATGTGCTTCTGGGTGGCTTTAATAGGAACTCAGTCTCTGATAACACTGTGAGAAGATGCTTGCCCTGCGGAGTGATGGGCTGTGCCTCACGTCCAGCTGTGGTCACTGCACCTTACTCAGGTTAGTGAAAAGTTCCAAAGCAGTCAGCTAACTTGCAAAGGAAACATCTGAGAGAAGTTGAGAAGCCCTGGGATGATTTCACTTGAAGAAGGCTGATTATGTAATGAGGCTTCAGGTTTATAAAAGATTTTTCGAGATGGTGGCCACCAGCTGTTCCTCATCTCTACTCTGGACAGGAGAGGAGGAAATTGGCTTAAGCAGATGCCTGGGGCTGTCTATATGGAAGAATTTCCTGACCTTGGAATGGGTCAATACAGAAAAAAACAAAGTGAAAAAAGAGCACGCCTTTCTCCTGAGGACAGCAAACGCAGACCAGACCCTTCCTGGTGTGTGGGCTTTGTGACAGCCAACGTCTGCCTCACTAATCGGGCTCACTGGGTGTGTACCTCAGGATTTTCTCATACAGAAGCACATAGGGTCACAAGACAATGTTGCAGGACCCTTTGAAAGTAATCTCTGACAGTGGCCGATGGGTGTATGTCTCCAAGTCAGTCTTTTCAATTTTATTTTTTTAGTATGTACTTGTCATATATATTGATCACAATCATTATAGGGAATTTGTACCTGTGCTTAATATATCTTCATCCAACAGACGTAATTAAAGAGATGATGTCCATGGCAGTATTGTGCCTTTTATAATGGGCCATCTCACTGGACACCAGGGCATCATACATAGGTAAGTGCCAGGGTTCCACACCATTGGCTTGGTTCTGGGTGGGCAAATTATTTAATGTCTGTAAGGCTCAGTTTCCTGGACTAAGTGTACCTTATGGAATCCTTCAGAAAAGGTAACTAAGTCAACTATTTTTAGGTCTAGTACAGTGTTTGGTACATGGCACTGAATAAATTTCACGGCTTCCTCTGTTCTCTAGTCTTTAAGATTGATGTGAAGTCTAAATAAACTTCATTTTTTGAGAGTAAAATAAGTGATTTTGAGCTGATGAGTTCTATGAGATTACTGCTGGCCCTTGTCACAGAGCCAAAAGATGCAGCTTACATTCGTGGAGTGGATGCAACTTACATTTGTTCACTGTCTCCATCACCCTCATGGAGTACAGAGCTTGGGCCTCTCTACCCTCAGTTCAAATATTACTAGATTAGAGTACCTAGGTTCTTTTAGAGCTTACCTTGCTGTTACCTGGGCCAATCCATCGAGCCGATGTTGTCTGGTTGTATCTGGTCCAATCTATGTCTCTAGTCCATCTTACATACAGCTTCGAAAGCGGCTCTGCATTATCTTACATCAGTTTGGCTTCTACGCTCAATTCCTTTACTGACTTTTTCCTGTGGGCTCAGATAAGTCATTTAATCTTTTGAATTTCAGTTTTCTCATCTATAAAGTAAGAATGAAAATTCTATAGCCCTCTGGTGTGAAAGGAATGAAACTCTGCAAAGCTCCAGGTGGAAGACCTTGTATGCAATCGCTGAATAACAACGGGGGGTAGAGCAATGGTTGAGGGATCATTTCCAAATCCAGGCCACAGTGGAGCCACCTGGGTGTCCAGAGTGATGCTGACTTACAGCATTTCCGTGTATAATTTTTTAACCTTACAAGGACATGAAACACTATGCCAATATGCCTTCCATAGAAACTGTCGTTCATGTTCTGACCCTTGCTTGGGTTGGTGCAGGCAGCGCAGTCCTTTATACTGGGCTGCTGCCATGAGCCCTGCAATTGCGAGGGGAAGCAGCCAACTAGAGAGCGCTGTGTGCTGCTGAGGCAAGGTGCATTTTAACTTGGTATATTTTCAATTTAAAATGGGCTTCGTGTGGCCCCAGCATATACTCAGAAGCTTCATGAGTCCATCAGATTGGAATTTATCACACAATCTGAACTAGTTTACAGAAGGTCCCTTTATCTTCTGCTTCCCATTTTTTTTTTCTGTTCATTCAAGAGTAAATTCCTGCCTCCTGGAGGAAGCACGAGACAGGGAGTTGCTTCTGGAGCCTTCTTTGCCAGCCTTACCCTCCTGCTTTCTTGTCTCTGGAGCAGCCAATCTGATTGGCTGGTGGTGGGGGAGGGGATTCCTAGCTTCCCTTCCTGTGCAGGTGCAGACTCTGCTTCTAGCTGGCTTTCCTTTCTGCTTTAGGTCTCCATTAGCAGAAGGTGCCTTCAGAGGGTCACACTTTCTACACATGGTCTTCCAGGAGGCCCGCCTTTGGGAGGTAATTAGATGCTTGCTTAGCCATTAACCAAGCCAGAGTTTCTCGACTTCTGCACTGTTGACACTTTGGGTGGGCTAATTCTTTGTTGCCTGCGGTTGGTGTAGAATGTTCATTAGCTTCCTTCTCTGTACGCTGGATGCCAGGAGCTAGCCCGACCCAAATAGTGACAACCAAAACGTGTCCAAACATTGCTAAAAAGAAGGATAGGGGCAGGGAAGGAGAAGAAGAAAAAGAAGAAGAGGATGACTTCAAGGAAAGGGAAAAGCGGGGAGGAGAAATAGAAAGTATGCCGAGACTTGGGTGTGTGTTTAGGTTGGGGGGCCTCCAGTTTGTCAGAGGAGAACTCAAAATGAAAATGGAATTTCCGTTCCCATGAACCTTTACATTCTTAGATTGTGCTACTGGGTGTTTACGTAAAAAGTCTTCTGTAGTTTTTTCATAGCAAAACAAGGTGAGAGAAGAGAAAAAGTGAGATAAGCAGGGAAATCAAGGCAGGAAGGAAGCAGCAGCGACTGATTTTCATGAAATTCCCAAAGGTAAGGAGTGTGCAGAAGCTGAGGAAGAAGAGGTGGGCAGGAGTTGCCCTGCTTGGGTAAACAAGTCTCTGGGGTAAATATTAGTGATCATCCCCACAGCAGCTCCTCGGCAACTGAAGTGCAAGAAAGACACACAGCATCTTGTATAGAAACTGCAATTTTTCCCCCTCCATCTCCGTCCCCAGCCTGTTGTACAAACTGCCCTGGTGCAGTTCCCTCCCCAGACCCTCTGCCCCAGGTCATGGGCAGCTGCCAGCTGGCTCCAGCAGGTCCCAGCTGCTCATCACGGGCGCTGGAGCCTCGGCTTTTGGAGACCAAGGGGCAAAGGAAACGAAACTCCCCACTCTGTGCCCTCGAGAATAATCACTGCCTTTTCAGAAGCCTGCTTTTCCTGGTGCCAATGCAAGAACTGTCTGTCTCGCCACCTTTCAGTTCTTGTTAAAAAGCAGAAACCATGTCAGGGCCGGGCAGGCCACAGGACAGAGAGCGCTTTCTTTGTAGCTCTGGATGAAATTCAGTGCTTTAATGAAAGCTCTTATTAGCCCCAGCTGGTGTCCCATTTCTCCTGAGCTGGAATAAAAAATTGCCTTGGTCATCCTTTCTCAGGCTAATTTCAAAAGCATAATTACCATCATCATAATTGATTAGTATTTATTTTGGTCATTAATAGTTATACACTCCCTTGTTACATGTGGATTAAATGGTCCAAGAATATTTAAGGCACGTGCATCTGTATTTGTTTTGCCTTGTTCCACACAGATCCCCACCTCCTGATCTCTTCAGGGTAACCTCTTGATTTCATGACACACAGAGATTCCCTTTCTGATTTTTAATGTTGAAACTACCATGTGTTGGTGAATGATATAAAGACAGTTCTATCTCGGCTAGTAAAATTTTTCTGAGGGCTCAACCCAAGGCCTTGCACATGATACCACTGAGCTACAATCCCAGCCCATGGCCAGCAAGAGGACAACAGGGTGCCAATGCTTCAAACTTGCACTGGAGGAGAAGGCAGGGGAGAAGGGGAGAACAAAGAAAGAAGATGATTTTAACACCTATGAAATTATTTTTCTTTTTTTTGAGGCCCTGGAAGGAGGCAGTCCCAAGCATCAGAGAGAAGAGAATTGGTATGTGTCACCTTCAAAACTGAGTTTAGGAGACACCTGCTTATGAAGACACAAGGATCGTAAAGTCCCAGATATTTAAGATATGAACTTAGCTGTCCACGTTGCCCAAACTCTTAAGACTCCATTGATGAAAGTCCTAGAGGAGATTAGCCTAATTTACATCCACATTTCAGTTGGAGCAATTCTATCTCCATATCATCCCACCTCCTGTTAGGCACTGAGTCCCTAAAAGACTCAGGAGGCTGCAGCATGTAAGACAAATACACAGGGTTTAGAGGTTGGAAACTGGGCTGCGACTGCACTTAGTGATAAAGTGCTTGCCTACCATGTGTGAAGCCCTGGGTTCCATCGCCCTTACTGGGGAAGTAGGGCTTGGGATTCCCTGCCGACAGGCTCTTATACCTCCTCTTATTGGCATGCAAAGATAATGGACCCAGGGTAGAAATGTAAATCTGGTTAAACCAAATACAGGGCTCACTTCCTCCCCAACCATCTGGATTATTGATCTGGGGGAAGGAGACCCCCAAATTCACATATGCTAATCAGAGCCCTTTCCTAGACATTCTGAAGCCAGGACCAGTAAGAATACGCCTTGGTATTGGAAGGAGGGAGCATTTGTAGACAACTCTCCATCTGCCATGTGAGTAAAACCAATCAGTTCTTGGTGGAAGGAGATTTAATCAGCAGTAGAGAGAAGATGATTTCAGAGAAGGAGAGTCCTGGTAACAGCTGAGGTTCTACTTCTAATTATTCCTGAAACCTGGAGCACAAACACTGAGAATATCTAGATGTACTGTGGCCGGAAGTGCCATTCCTATGGCCGCCATGTGACAGTTACCCCAACGGCTGTCAGTGTGCAGCTACATAATTGTATATGATGACCCTGCCTGGAGATATCTCTACTTTTTCTTCAGCGTACTTAGAGATATTTCAGCATTCTGTTGTTAAATTCTCTTTTTTGTTAAAAGCCATTGGAATCCAATGTATGGCACTTGAGCCAGTGAGACCTAAGTAAGATAATGAGAGTATTTATCTACCACAAAAGGAAAAAATGATGCATTTCTCCCATTCCACCTCAGATTATTCTAGATCGATTCTAGGAAGCACTGTCTTTTAGCTGATTTATTAGGCAGTCAGGGAGTCAGAAGTCGGGGTGAGGAAGAAGAGTGTAACCCAGGGTGTACCCTAAGGCCCAGCTACAGTGCTGGGGTACTAGGCCCCATGAAGCTGCCAGGCCATCTAGAGGGTGCATGAATGCAAGTAATTTCCGGAAGGCCTTTGGGCTGGCTGTGTGGGAACAGCTGCACAGTTCCATAATGGTGTCAGTGTCAACGCAGACTCAACATTTTCCAGGGGGAATGGGGCTGAGAGGGAATGCTGTCCTCCAGCCAGCTCCTGGGGGGCGGGGGATGTGGAGAGGGAAGGAAGGTTGCCAGGCAGAATAGCTGCACGTCCAGACCCCAGGGAAAAAAGAGAATGGGGAAGAGTCTTGAAGAAGATTTAAACTCGGTTCCTGTATGCAACCCCCATGCCCCCAAGAGCTTTCTAAGTCTCCCTAGTAAAATACGTAGACAATGTTAATAGTGAACAATAATGAATGGCTACTTTTTAAAGAGGATGGGAGAGGGACACTGGCAGAGTTCTTAGTTAGAAGACAGCGGGCAGAGAATTCAAACAATCCTGAGGAATGTAAATAAGTGTTCTACAAAGAGACCTGGTATGGCGCAGTGGGATTAGTGTGGATTTTGAAATCAGCCTCATCTGGGTTCATGTCCTGTCTCTGTGGTCCTGTAGGGAAGCCACGTGACCCTGTGAGCCTCACGGATGGGGATAATAATACCTAACTGCCTGCAGTAAAGCAGCAGACACAATAAATATTAGTTAGCACTATAGAATCAGCCAGGAAAATAATGTCAGAGTAGGGACCCTGTGATAATAAGAGCCACTCAATTTTGCTTTATTGCTGTTATTTTTCATCTTACTCTATTCCTTTTTTAATTTTTTTTTTTTTTGTTGTTGTTGTTGTTGCAGTGCTGGTGATCAAATCCCAGGGCTCCTATTCTATTTTGGACACTGTTCTATGCTCTTAGGTGCCTCTTTTCTAATGTAACTCAGCTCCATCTCCGGGTCAAACACTTTTCTGAGCTATGTGACAAGGCAGCCTGGACAGGAGGGAGCATGGGCTTGAAGGTCTGCCAGGATGCATGCCGGCACTGTTTGAATTTTTACCGTGGCCCTGACCTACCCTTCTTGGTGTACCCTTTTGGTTTTGGTTTACTATTGCTGTTTTTATCTTTCTCTTCCATTGCCTGCTTGTAGAAGCCATGTATTGCAGCATAACAAATTTGTAGTTGTTGCTTGATCTCTGAGGGGACTGGCTGTAGGATCGGAGGATATCAAAATACATGGATGCTCGTTGCTTTTATAAAAGAGTTTACAGTTTCTCACAGTCAGGAATTTCAGGGTCTCTAAGCTAGGTGATTCTATTTATGTGTCTCATGAGGATGCCTGTAGAGGTCATCCTGGGTTCCAGGCACCCAGAGGGCTGATGGGCTGAGCTCCTGCTTCCAAGTGAGCTCTGTTACATGGCTGTTGGCAGGAAGCCTCAGGTTTCCCCCAAACAGCCCCTGCTGCAGCCTGTGGGTGTCTTTACAGCATGGAAGTGGCTCCTCAACAGTAAGGTGTAGAAGAGACAATCAGCAAGCCAAGTCATAGTCCCTTCTAAGACCTTGTCTCCAAAGTCAGACACTGTCATCCCCAGTGTATTCTGCTTGTCAAAAGCCAGTTTTGGAGTCCCTCTGGCACTCCTTGAGAGGTGCAGTTGGTGAAGAGAGGAGCATCAAAAGATCTGTGGGCATTTAAAACCCACGGCTGCATCTAGGTCAGTCAGTTCTCCCACAGACTTTAGTTTCAGGATGTTAAGATTGATTTTCCCAGTAGTCAGCAGGATGAACATCTGTTAAGCAAGGGTTTCTTAACCTTGGCACATGGTGGGGCTGCCCTGTGTGTTGTATGAAGTTCAGCAGCATCTCTGGCCTCCATCCATTAGATGTCAGTAGCAGCTCCATCCCCACTGGTGACTGTGAAAAATGCTTCCATGTTATTTATTTATTTTTGATACCAAGGATCAAACTCATGACCACATGCTTGCCAGGCAGGCGCTTATGCCATAGAGCTAAACTGGACTATTTTGAAGAGAACAAGAGACATTATGGTAGCCATTGTTTATTTTCCTATTGTCTGGTTTTGAAGAACTGTGATGTTTTCATTTTGTTTTGAACAGTTTTATACTACTTTATCTGAACTCATTGTGTATGAAGATATGGACAACTATTTCAAAGAAAACAAGAGAAATTATGGTAATCACTGGTGATTTCCTATTGTCTTATTTTGAAATCCTGTGTTGATTGCATTGTTTTGTTCTGATCTGCTTTGTTCTGTTCTGTTTTGTTTTGCTTTATTCTATTTAAAATAAAAAAATGCTTCTAGACATTGGTGTCATAGGTGTGTGGGTAGCGCTGGCAAAACTGCCCATGCCTGAGAACCACTGTGTTGAGAACCACTGACTCTGGAGTGGCATCACAAAACCTTTTAACTCCAATGCATATTTAAGATGTGGAGTGCAGTGCACAGGGGTGGATGTTTGATCCTGTTCTGACTTTTTTCTAATAAGGTTATACCCATGTAGAGCTTTCTACAAGACTTATTCTTTCCTCAGTGTTCTTCCTCTACCATTTCCCTTTCTCCAAGGATATGTTTTTGTTTTTTTCATGTTCACGTCCTATCTCTACATGCACTGAATCACTGTTTTTTGCCTTTTCAGTCTTTCATGTTGTGTTGGTTACTTTTCTCTTGTTGCTGGACAAAATACCTGATACCCAAAACTGGGGAAGGTAACGTTTATTTATCTCACAGTTTGTGGAGGTTTCAGTCCATACACGGCTGGCTCAAAGGCAGAGTAGCACATGGCAGAGGGCAACAGTTCATTGTGATGGAAGACAGCAAAAGCAAAAAGAGAGGAGCACTGAGAGAAGACTTTCTGTCCCTTACGTTGTATGTATGTGTAGCACTTGCACACATAATCTCAGTATTGGACCATGAATCAATCACAAATTCCAGAAGCCTGCCCCCATGACTGTACAAGGCTTTGGGGGGACATGCAGACATAAACCATAACACATATTATGCATTAGTCTGCCATTGTGTATACCTATCAATGCTTCTTCCACTTCTATGCTGGCACTTCTCAACTCCTCCATAGTTTTCTGTTGCAATTTATCTTGGAAAATGCTATTGTTTCTGATATATCTCCAGAAATGCCTGGAAGGATTGGGCTATGAACCAGTCTTTTTTTTCCCCTTAGAATTAATAAATTTTTTTTTTTGCTCCCACCATCAGGTTTTTTTTTGTGTGTATTTGTCATTAATTCAACCTCTGATTAATTTAGTCCTTTCTTGTATTCCTTCATTTTTAAATCCTCACAATTTTACCTTCTTAAGAAATCTAAGGACATCCAGTGTCCTCCATCTGCTCTAGTTTCCCTCTACCCTTGAGCAAACCTATTAGGCTAGGCTAATCTTTCACCTTTATTCTGAGACTTCCTCTCATGTCCTATTTTGAAATATTGTCCGGGTTAATGTTGCTTCTCAAGAATTTGTGTCCTTCCCAGAACTTCAGAATGTGACCTTATTTGAAAGTAGGTTATTGTAGATGTGATTAGCTAAAGTGAGGTTATACAATTGTAGAGTGTACCTTTAATCCAGTATGTTTGGAATCTTCACTAGAAGAAGAGAGAGAGACAGACACACAGGAAGACATATGAAGGCACAGTGGGAAGGCAGTCACGGGATGCAGAGGTGGAGGTCCGAGTTCTGTTGGGACAAGCCTGGAAACTCCTGGGCCCAGCAAGAGACAGAAGACAGAGAAGCTCGGCCTTGCTGCTGTCATGATTTCAGAGCTTTTGCCTCAAAGAATGAGAGGTAATATGTTTCTGTTGTTTTGGACTGCCTTACTTGTAGTAAAGTAGTCCTGTCCTCAAAAAAAAAAGTGATTCCCAGTTTCACTTACCTTCTGTATAGTTTTAGTCACCTGTGGTCAACCGTAGTCTGAAAACATGAAAGGAAAATTTCCAGGAATAAATGATTCATACATTTAAAAATTGCACACCATTCTGAGAGTGTGATGAAATCTTCACTACTATTCTTTCACATCTCAGGCTCCGTCTTGCCCAAGATGTGAAATGTCCTTTTGCCCAGAATGTCCACATGAGCTGTCTTGGTTATCAGGTCTAGTGTCTCAGTGCTTCGGTGCTTGTGTTCACACAAACTTTTGTTTGACTTAATAACGACTCTGAAGCATAAAAGTGGTCATACTGGCAATTCAGATACGCAAAGAGAAGCTATAAAGTACTTCCTTTAAGTGAAAAGATGGAAATTCTTGACTCAATAAGGAAGGAAATATATACTGAGGTTAGTGAGATCTAATGTATGTGGAATGTCTTTTAAAATTCTTTCTTAATTTTCTCATTCATTTGGTGGAGCATATTCTCCAGAAAACATAGAGAAGTTAAATGACATTTTTAGCATTTGCATGTTTGAAATATTTTTTATTCTTTTCTTATACATTAGTGATGATTAGTCATAATATAGAATTGTACCTTGGAAATCATTTTCCTTTAAAGTTTGAAGTTACTTCACAATTTCCAAAATTAGTTGCTGTGTTTGTTTTTCTCTCTGCGTGTTGCTGAAAATTCTACACTCTAGAAGCCATTCTAATTCCTAATCTTTTGTACTCCCCCCCCTTTCTTTCCCCCAACCAAAAATTTGATGAAGAAATTTCTTTATCCAATTTCTGGAAATTTCATAATAATGTACCTTAGTGTGGCATGTATTTTCATTTATGGTAATATGATCTTGAAGTTCTTTTTCAATCTGGAGATTCATGTTCTTCAAGTTTGGTAAATATTATTGTATTTTTTCTTGATGACTCTCTCTTCCTCCCTGTTTTTAATATTTTTTATTTTTTTTTTACTCATTATTTGCATGATGATCTTCTTGGGTTTGCTGTTAATTATTTTTCTCCATTTCTTTGTCTTTCTGACTTTCAGAAACTTTTCCTCAATTTTGTCTTTCAATCTTTTGATAAAATTTTTGTTTATATTTTCACATTTTTAAATTATAGTTTTTGTTCTTGTTTTGTAGGTTCTGTTCTTAATGGAAGCAGTATCTTTTTTTTTTAACCTCTCAAAAGTTAGTGAGGATCAAGGATCATTTGAGGAAGTTTTCTTCTCCTAGCATAAATTATGCTTGCTCTTGTTTGCATTTTGAATGACTTTCCTAATAGGAACATTTGTCAGATATCTGTGTATCTGCAGTGTCTGAATGGGAGGAGCTTCTTAACCTTGAGTTTTATTTAGGGTGCTATGCTATTTTAGTTTGAAAGGACCCTTGCATCAAGTTGTTAGACTTGGCAGAGATGATTCTTTCAATATTCGGTCTGAAGAGCAAAGGACTGGCTGCCAATATTGTGGGAATATTATGTGCCAATAAAGGAAGAGGGATAGAGATGTTACCTCAACATCCAGTAAACCCAGCCGCTGAATTTTTCTGTTTACAATATGATACCATTGGTCTCAATTTGGCTTGATGGTATAGATCAGAGTCACGGCTGTAGTCAGAGTTTTTAAAACAGTAGAACACATAATTTATAGGATTATTTTATAATATTCACCCAAAATGTCAATTTCAGAGAGGTGCAAGAGATCTGCTCACACTGAGACTCAAAGAATCTAGTTGAGAACCCATGGCAATGTCCTGCATGAGTCCAGCTGGAGGTCTAGAGCCCACGACAATGTCTTATGCAAGTCCACATCAAGATTTGCACTGGGAAGGCCAAAGGTGGAAGCTAGAAAGTCTTTACTAGAAGGATGAAGGGTCTCTGCCAGCAGGCTGAGGATCTGCATTGGAGCCAGGAAATGACACTCAAAGTAAGGACTAGAGCTTCCCAGAAGAGAACTGCACCCATCCTCAGCAACAGCGAAGACCTGAGCTCCTCCAATAATGAGAACAGCTGAGATCATATCAAGAAAACCTGCATGACAAGCTTCTCCAGCAACAGCATGCTGTCTTCCCTTCTGGCTCTTCTTATACACTGTTGGCAGCAATCCTCAAGTGGGCCTTCCATGCCCAAAACCACACTAACTCAGTTTAGCTGGATGTTCCAAGCCGATCATTAGTTAATCCACCACAGGCACTGTGCTTTCCCTTCCCTGGAAATAAATGGTCAGTTTTCACCCAGAGTGGAGGAAAAGCAGGTTCCTAGCAGTGTGCTGTCAGGGTGTAGGGGGGTCCAGGCACTTAGCAGATATCATCCAATATTCATTAATTTATATGCTCTCTCACCCCAGCTTTGCTCTGAGCACCAATAACCTGATGCTATACTTTGCTTAATTTTTCTGAGTATTCTCTTGGATAAATAGTTGATGCATGGACTTTGCTGCTACTGATTAGGAATTCAGCTGAGTAAGGCTGCCTAGTCTGTTGCCTCTCATTCATAAGCTCTATAGCTCCCCAAGTTCTGTTGTTTTTGCCTCTTTTACATCCCCTGTGGATTTATGTCTTAACAATTCCACCACATTGGTCATAGGGAGGCTTGTTGAGGGACTGAGATCAACTGCACAGGTCCCTGTGATCTCTGCATTTGGGAGGTTGTGATATTTTCAGCCTTGTCTGGAGTGCTGTTTTGGAAGTAAAGATAAGTATATCTCAAGTCCATTTAAGAATCCTCTTTCCAGCATTACTTGTCCAAAATGGTATTTTGGACCAAACACGTACTATTCAGCAAAACTCATAATATGTATATATATTTATATTATATATAATATATGTGTACACATATTACTTTACGACAGAAGGAACCACGTTTCTATGAGATGCCTTTCTCAAGGACCTTACCGTGCCTTTCCATCTACTTGCATCAGGTGTGAGAACGCAGGGTGCATTAGTTGGGGGAGGTGTGGAGGAGGGCTTGGTCATTTATTGGTTTGAAATCCATACAATTAAAAGACATTGTGGGCACCTGCCTGACAGGCACAAGGTTGTGAGTTTGATCCTCTGTACCAAAAAAAAAAAAAAAAAAAGTTTAGCTAGAAGATATTGTGGGGCTTATGTTATTTAGGGTAATCAGGAACACCTGCTTTGATGAGCAAACTCACAGGCACAGGATTGACATGTGCAGAAAACCTCATGAAGAATTTCTAGCAGAGGAAAGGAGAAGGCTTGCAGAGGGAAAACAGGAGATCAGTAAGGGGAAGGGGAGTGAGCAAGACTGAGAACGTGGGGAGGGCCTGCTGTTAGAATACTGGCGTTTTCTCTGGTGAGGCTGAGAGCCACACCGTGTCTGGAGAGTCAGATTGTCTGTCCTGCGCCCCTCTGGCTATCGTCGAATGCAGTCATGGAAAGAGGGGAAGCAGAAGCCTGGAGAGGAGGCTCCCGAATGCATTAGTAGGAGCAGTGGTGTTGGTTTAGATCAGGGTATAGCAGTAGGTGGTGAGATAGGGTTGGACTGTGGCTAAGTTTTAAAGACGTAACTGAAAATTTTGAAGTTAAATGGGAGTTCTGAGGGAAAGAGAGGTATAATTTCAAATTTTTTTTCTTTAAAGACATGTGTTTGCTTAAAGAGACTTATTTGAGAAATATAAAAGTGTGACAATACTACACTGGCCACTTTTCACAATAATGTAAGGCTTAACAACATATATTTTTGCATACATAAACAAAAGTATTAGTGACAGTCACACAGATATAACTTCTGAACTGACAAATTGCATTCATAAAGAAAGAGGTCAAAACCCAAAATGTAAATACATATTGCTACAGTTAGTAATTGAGTGCACCCAGTCCCATAGCTTTGAACATCTGAAGTCCCATGGCAGACAATTTAGTCTTTAGATGAGATAGATCAAAAACTTCAATGGACCACTACTATATAGCCCTTGGCCAAAGAGCTGAGATCTTGAGAAATTTTATCTTCCACAAAGGCAGATATACAAAAGACTGCAACTCTTAATTAAGGAAATTCTTTAAAAAATTTAAACATATTTACACAGTCTGCATTGCTCTAGTGCACTGTAGCAAACTCCAAAATTTTTTACTTTGGTTATTGGAAGGATAAATTTGCCAGTTGGTCAGAAGGGCAAGATAGGAGGGAAACTGGGGTTTGGTGAGCTTAGTTCAGCTCTGGCTCTGGCAAATTTGAATTGTGAATATCTATACATGGAAGATATTGCATATTAAAGAGCCATGTGGAGATGCTGAGTGAATTGTGGATCAAGGAAATGGAGCCTAGAAGAACATTCAATGTGAACAGAACTCTTCTGGCAGGCAAACCTCATCTGTGTGCTTTGCATATATTGATTTCTCCCATTGCTACTGCAACTTGATAAGCAGTTATTATTATTCCCATGCCTCGATACAAAAGCAAAGTCACTGACGTTTAAATAATTTGCCAATATCCAGGTGGATCTTAAGCATTGGAGCTGCCCTCAAACCGGGGTCATCTACCCCCAAAGCCTGCCTCCCAGTCACTGTGCACTCTGTAGTCCCCCATTTGGTGTGTGCCCTGAGACTCTTTCAGGTTTGGTGTAGGCACCAGGAACCTGAGTAATGAAGAATCGCCTTGAGCCCAGGGCAAAGCAGGTAGACGGTTTGGGCTGTTGTTAAAATATGACTTTGGGGGCCAATCAGAGCAGATCTGGGTTTGAACGTCTGTCACTAATTCTAAGGTTCTTAACCTGCACCTCGCAGCCTCAGTCCTTTTGTGAAGGTAGGTACCTGCTACCCTGGGTCAGGATGAGGGTGAAATGAAGTGAGAGCTGTCGATAAATGTTAGAGGTCATCTTGGCTGCTGTTATTGAAGACCAAAGTTTGCAGTGGTGGTTGCTCAGATTCTCGTCCGTTCTCAGGATTTCTAAAGCCTTGTGTAGGGAAGGAGGTGGGACTCACATGAGACAGCTCTGCATCTGCTATAAGAGAGTGCGGTCTGAAGAATCTCTGGGGACAGGTTTTCTTCTTTCACAAGTCAGTGGTAGTTGAGGACATTGTCCAAATCCCACGGTGCCAGGGATCCATCATGGCCAGTGAAACCATTTAGGGTCTGTGGAGGGCCACCTGGATGGCTTTCCCTGAAAGAACAGCATTTCACTCTGCTTCCATGTACAGATATTCACAGAGGTGGCTAGGATATTTCTTTTTCCCTCAGTTGACTTTAAGCAATGCAACTTAGTCAGCTAAAGTGCTGATGCATAGTCTTTAAAGCAATGTGAAAGGTCAGTGATGCTCCACCTACGGCTCCCAAGGAGTATATGTGAGCTAGGCCACAGGACACCACACTGTCGGCTGGGATTGAGCTTTGAGAAAGAAGCTGTGACATCTCAGATGTTAATTACACTTCTAAACTGAAGCACCAACCCCAAAACAATAGCTAGTGCCCCAATTTGCGATAATGCAGATTACTCTCTGCATCTCTCTCCTTCTGCATATTAAATTCAAGCCTCCTACATAACCCAGCTCACAGCACTCACATACTCCCCTCCTTTCTCTCAGTCACTCATCCCAAACCATTCTCTCTTCATCAATCAATAAAACCCAGGATCAGCCCTGAGTTGAGGCCTTGGTTCCAGTTAGCCATTTTTCTGACCGAATTTAGGACCCTCTTGGTTCCCCAGAACTAGAAATATGCTTTACTGTCTTTATTCTGGATGTGGATTGCACTGGACGTGATAGACTGGAATGGTTTGTTGGAATGCCAATAACTCTCCCCAGGGATTACTAACACGGACTCCTCCAGACTGTGACGAGGTCCATAAGGACTTCTGCAGTGATCCTTCTGGCGCAAAGCTCTTTGTCTTCCTTTCTATCACTTAGGACCTCAGGCATGAGGGTTACAGTGGGGTTGTCTAGGCTGGAAATTGGATGCATAAAGAAGCTTCCTGTGTCTGAGGCCACCTTGAACTCCCCCTTGGAAGGAGCTGGATGTAGCTTTAATTGGCCCATCTCACCGCACACATGCAGACAGCTGGGGAATGTTTCCTCAGATGGGGCGGCCTCCAGTTTACAGGAATGAAGAGTCACCTTTAATTCCTGGGTCCAGAAGGATCCCAAATGAATTTAGAACAAGTGAAGACTCTGAATTCAGAGAGACACTGAAAAAAGCAACCAATAATTACAGTTTGGGAGCCATGAAGTAGCCCAAAGAGACCAAGGCCTGTCCGTCCAAGACCAAAGAAAGAATTTTGTTTACCAATTTCTCATTTATGCTCCACCTACTTCCAAAAAGAATTTGGGAACAGCTGACAGGGGAAATAAACAAGATCCCAGCCATAAGTCTTTCCCCACTAGTTAAGCTTCTGAGATAGAGCTAATAAATTGGGTTATTTTACCAAGAGGAAAAAGAGACAGCACATGAAACCAAATAAATCATGGAGGAACTAACTCCCTACCTATACATACAATATACAGTCATCCACCAGGATCTTCAAAGGTTGGTTGCAGGACTGCTGTGGATACCCTTGAATGTGAAATCCTGTTTTATATAATAGGGTAGTATTTACATAAAACCTATGCATAAACTCCTATAAACTTTCAATCATGTCTAGATTAGTGATAATTCTTAATGCAATTTAAATGCTATGGAAATAGTTGTTACATATTTTTACGAATAATGACAAAATGTCTGTCCATATCCAGCATAAACGTAATTTTTTTTTTGATATTTTTCAGCCACAATTGGTTAAGCCTGTAGATGATAACTTGTGGATGTAGAGAGCTATCATATCTCAAAAAGCATTCCAAATATTTCTTTCTCAAGTAATCAAGAAAAGGAACTTTTCATCAAATGTTGCCATATTTAAGTTACTGATTTCTGTCCATTCTGGGCATTGAAATAGAATCAGAATTCTTAACACAGTTGTTCCTGGGAAATGACCAAAGCGAATGAGGCGCTTTACCAGGTGGGCCCCATCAGGTTAGTTGGTCTAGGAGAGGCTGCTGGTTGGGTGGAAGAGCTGAGCGTCCAGATGTTTGGTACTGGCCGGGCAAGGAAGGTTGGGCTGGGCTGGGTGGTGGAGTCTGACTTCAGGGGGGAAATGTGAAGAACAAGAAAGATGGGATAATATGTAATAGGAAGAAACGAACATTTGTTGAGCACCTATTTTATTTTAGGCCTTTTACGTGTTTCCTCTACAACAGCTCAGAGAGATGGGCATTATTATTCCTGACTGTACTACAGAGAAAACTGAGGCTTAGCAGTCGTGGGACTGGGTCTAAGTGCCACATCTAGAAATGAAGCAGATGCTGATACATTCTCTGTACGTCTCAGCATTGACTGTTTAAAAATCACCAGGAGGGTTAAACTCCTGGGCACCATGGCACCTCGGAAATTCAGATCCAGGCCATTCTCAGGATTGTCTGAGTCCAAACTCCTCCTTTGATGAGTGAGAAAGCAAAATCCTGGGGCCAGGCAATCCTGCCCACTGGACAGTAGCAGTGGCTCAGCCTCAAAGACCCCTAAATTTCAGATTCGCACCATTTTCTAACTGCCCCTCTCCAGATGCCTGCCACGACGCCCCCTTTCCAAAGCTCCCTACACTTTTCCCAGCCTGCAACTATTTTCAAAAATGGAAAATTTCAGCAGCCACACCTGCTGGGAAGTGGAGTCTATTTTGTGCTGGAAGTCTCTATATTTACCATACTTGCCTTTGGTGGTCTACATCAGACAGTGTTCTCGAGGATGGAGAGACCCACAGCCAAATCCTGACACAGCCGGGGCTCACAGAGAGGCACTATGCTCATGTGTCAAGTGTTTCCAAGCCTAAGTGGCCTGGGGTTTGGGAATATTTTTGACACAGTGTGCCTTTTGTTGCCTATGGGGTTAGATATTTAGCTAAGTATCAGCATGACTTCCAGGGCAAATGTAG